AAATTGAAAATATAAAAAACATTTTGGGGTAATAAAAAAAGGTGATATTAAATGAAAATATTCAAACTTAAATGAAAATGATAAATTTTGCCTTGGCAAGCAAATTAAATCAATGAAAACAGCACAACAAAATTACAAATAAATTTTTTTAAAAGGTAATTCAAAATTTGAATAAATACTATAATCGAATATAAATTATACTAAAATAATGCTGGTGCTTGGCTTCTGGAGAAATAAATTAATTATATATTATATTATAATATAAATATATATTATAAATATATAATACTTTATATATATTATATATATATGTACACACACACACACACACACACACATATATATATATATACCACCTCAAATCTTGTCTCATTGTTTAGATAGAAAAATATAATGGTCACTGACACTAAAATCCATCACAAACACCATCATGCAATAAAAGAGTATTGCATTTTAGAAAACTTTGTATTCTGATGATAATTATACAGTGAGACCAGAAACACATAATAACAGATATATCATTAAATACGAATGAACTAAGATTAATAAATAAATAAATAAATAAATAAATAAATAAATAAATAAATAAATAAATAAATAAATATGGCTGGATGGCTATGGATAAATCCACTGTCCTAAGGACAGAACTCCAGGTTCGGACTCTAGGTTCGCTGAATCGCATACATTGTCCACCATATACTATAAATGCTCACAGTAGTGTGTGTCTTAAAAAGTACAGTATTAGTAAAACCACATACTTAAATAAATAATAATAAAAAAAAACAGGTGACTGTAGTGAGCTGATCTGAGCTGCAGCAAATAAACAACTCCTTATAAGGTCTCATTTCCTGTGTCTCAGCTCTTCCCAACAGCCGTGTTCTGCAAACACGGCCAGTTCTACGGCCCAAACGACTGGCTACGGCACAATAGAATTATCCAGCACCCACAGAGGGGGCCTGCGGCATCAGACTGCAGCTGGGAAGGAGATATTGAGCTGTGAGAGTGGTGCATGCTGTACCTCACGAGGAGAGGAGGTGTGTTTGTATAATTGCTGACAGGAGAGCTATTTATCACAATGGATCTCCACAGGTGCGCTGAAATGTTCCAGCTAACACACAATAACAAAACCAAATCGGGGATCTACAGCTGCATGTCGCTACCAGCTAATGAAGAACTAATCTCTGCTCTGCTAATTGTATTGTGAAACATATCTGGGGGAACCATAGCAGCTGTTTGGCAGACTAGCCAATGAGTGCTGACGCATGGGACGTTTGGAGTGAACCTGAATATATCACGCAGGTCTTTTGATTATACTGTTTATCTTAATAATAATCTTCGTGAGCTGAAGTCAGTATTATGGAGGAGGTAAAATGTTTAGTAGCGGTTTCTAAAACAGTTTTGATTATAAAAAATGAAAATCTAAAAGCATCATTAATATTGGACAAGCATTATTAAACAATAACTACAACTAAAATAAGATTAATTGATGAGAATAAAGTAAGCATGAAATGCAGAAATATAGACAAACAAAATTATTTACATCCAAATGATATTAAAATGTACCTTGTATACTGTAATCCAACTTATCGAGGATTTAGGATCAGAGTAAGTGTGTGTATGTAAGAAGAAATGTGGACGCTGATGAATTCTGACTCAACTCACTCAGATACCCTGTTGGTTCACACGCAAACCCCTGAAGTGTGTGTGTCTAACAAATATCTTGCTTCAGGCTAGAAACATGTCTCATCGCCCATAGAGACCACACTCATGTTCACATCAATCCTACATCAGTCCAACATAACAAGAGTGCCATGGAGACACAGTTAGTGCCAATTTTACAAGATCAGGAGGCTGTTGGGATATCAGTCTCCCATCTATAATGACAGAAACAGCCATTTGCAACAAAATCCATTTTCTTGATCTTGTTTTTCAGTAAAAAATATATAAACGATAGGATAAAAAGAAGATAAATGGTGTGAGACAAGACTTGTTTTCAAAGATAATACCTTAAAATAATTGTAATTAAAATGTTCAATGTTATGGTTTTAGGTATAAGGGTTAAAGGAGTAGTTCACTTTTAAAAAGCTTTTGCTGATATTTTACTCACCCCCATGTCATCCAAGATGTCCATGTCATTCTTTCTTCAGTCGAAAAAAATTAAAGTTTTTGATGAAAACATTCCAGGATTTTCTCCATATAAATGGACTTCATTGGGAACCAAACGGTTCAAGGTCCAAATGACAGTTTCAGTGCAAACTGTTCAAAGGAAGATTTGTTCATTTTGATGAACAAGTTTGAACAGGAGAGTCACGAACGCTGATCACAGAACAGAGCAAGGCGAGCATTTGTGCTTTTAAAACATAAACTTTTTTATTTACTTTTTAAATGACCGATCGTTTCGCTTGATAAGACCCTTATTCCTTATTCTGGATTTGTTAAAAGCCCTTTGAAAAGTTTGCAGTTTGCACTGAAACTGTCTTTTGGATCTTGAACCGTTTGGTTCCCATTGAAGTACATTACATGGAGAAAATCCTGAAATGATTTCATCAAAAAACCTTAATTTCTTTTCGACTGAAGAAAGAAAGACATGGACATCTTGGATGACATGGGGGTGAGTAAATTATCAGAAAAAGTTTTTTTTTTTTTAAAGAGATCTACTCCTTTAAGGGAAATATGGACTTTTTCTTTTTTAAATAATTTACAGAAAAACAAGAGGAAAAAAAATATACTAAGAAAATGAATTATTGCAGTTCTAAGTAAGTGTGTGCATTTATGTGTAAACAGATGAGAGGTCTACCTGACATAGAGTGAGCGTTTCTGATTGGTTCTGAGGGATCCGGATCCGGAACTCATGCTGTGGTTCATCATCTGCTCCCGTAAGTCATGAATTTTGGCCTCGAAACGCCCGTATTCTGTAAACACAAACATAACCAAGCATAAACATGATGCAAAAACTTTTTTTTAAACCAAACATCCAACTATGCAATGGGAATTCTAAAATCTAGAACAGAACGTAGCACATGCAAACAAAGAGTCGCAAACCAAAGAATTCATAAAAAGTTCTCTGGAGGGAAATCCTGTCAGTGTCTGAGATGACAGCTCCGATCGATACGAGCGGCTACTGTAGCTGTTCTGTGCTGACTTCTAGCACAAGGTCACACAGTCAATATAGGACGATAGAAAAGAGAGAGAGAGAGAGAGAGAGAGAGAGAGAGAGAGAGAGAGAGCTGGTAACTGGTAATGTCATATGTATCTTCTGTGGTGCAAATGTATGATATCCGATAACATCCCACTTCAGTTTGTTTGTTATATGCAGACTGATACTGAATCTCCACATATTTCTGCAGAACTGAAACATTTATCATTCTGCAAGATAATAACCAGCTGACTGTATATTATTCCATATTTATGTAGTTTTTTAATACCCCCTATTCCTTTGGGCTTTAAAGCTTTACGTAAACACAAAAGCAAAAAGCTATAATAAGACCCTACTCAACTTTAAAAATATATGGTGATAGATAAAGCAAAAATCCTCCTAAACACTAATACAGATGATGAAAAAAAAAATTTGCTTGAAAGAAATTACAACTTTAAACAGCAGGGCTACATTAAACTGATTAAAGACCATTTTAATAATATAAAATAGTTGTATTTTAAATTAAAGCTTTTATTTTGAAATTTCTAATAATTACAGAATCCTGAAAAATGTGCACAAAAATATAGCGCCGCAAAACAGGTTTCAACATTAATAATGATAAGAAATGTTACTTGAGCCCAAGAATCATTTGACACATGATGTGACATGAGTATATGCCCCTGAAAATTCACTAATGCCATCCTGGAAATAAACAACACTTCAAAATATATTACAATAGTTATCTTTACCTATCTCAAGTAATCTTAAATTATAATAATATTTCACAATTTTTGTATTTTTACTGTATTTTGATTAAATAAATACATCTTTGGTAAGCATTAGAAACTTAAAAAAAAAAAAAAAACCTCTCTAAACAAAGACCACAAAAGGATGGGGGCAACGGTAGTGCATACACTCTAAAAAATCCTGGGTTATTTCAACCCAAATTTGGATCAAATATGGACTAACCCAAATGTTGGGTTAAAAATGTAATTAAACAAATTACAGTTGAAAGTGAAAGTTGAAGATTTTAAATGACATTTTTAACCCAGCATTTGGGTTAGTCCATATTTGACCCAAATTTGGGTTAAAACAACCCCGCATTGTTTAGAGTGTAGAAAATAATACTTTACAAAAGGTAACATGAACTAATAATGAACAGCACATGTTAATCTATGTTAAAGTTAATTTCAACATTTACTTATATTTGTTAACACTAGTTAATGCAATGTGAAGTAACATGAATAAACCATGAACAGCTGTATTTTTTATTACCTAACCTTTACAAAGATGAACAAATACAGTAACAGCTCAAGGTTAGTTCATGTTAGTAAATAGATCAACTAATGTGAACAAATGAAACCTCATTGTAAAGTGTTACTAAAATAATATTTCAGAGAGAAGGAATATCTTATTATTTTTTAGGAAGGCACAGACTCATGCGCTCTAAAACACAGATTTGCCCTCCAAACAAACTGAAGCTCAGGTAATCTAGTGCATGGCGTGGCAGTTTGTTGAAGGTGCTGCACACATCAGCCCTGTTTCAGCAGAGAACTACATCTGCTCTGATTGCTGCTGCTGAGACCAATGCACACACACACACACACACACACACACCCTGAACCTGAGAACTCAGCAATGCCCAAAAGCCCAGCTTGAACACCATTAGAGCAACCAGACTAGCACGGAATACCTACTACACCTGAGCAACGTTACCGCTCTTTTGGTTTCTATTACTGTTTCCTTTTTCATCCAGTCCCAAGTTTTCAAGCCATTTATAAGGGTCTTCGAAGGTTCAGCCGAGGAATAAGGCTGTTTTGAGATCCTGTCTGTCCTTGCAGGAACTCAAAGGTCAAATGACAAGTCGATTTTGTCATTAGTCTCCGGGCTAGCAGAGGAAGATCAAGGACAATTATGGTGACGATACAATCGGTGATGTGCCGTAAAAGCAGAAGCAGCACTCGCATATTTCCACATTCATCCCTCCCAATGAAATACACAGGATTTATTCACATTCAAACTCCCACCTTTGGAAACTAAGCTCTACCTCTTTCTCTGGTGGCCTCAATGTTATTTAAGAAGACAGAGAATCCTCTAAACAATAAAAAATGACGAAAAGAGATGCATCTTCTCCAGAAGGAAAGAGAGAGAAACAGATTAAAGAGTCTCTGAGGGCTGCAAAGCTCAGACGAAGGATAAAGTAGAGAACCCAAAACAATCCCGCAGTGACGGACGCACTCATCCCGAACAAATCCACTCAAATGAAAAGAGACTGCTGAGCACACAAACCTTCAGGAGATATTTTTGGAACACAGTTAGAAATATTAGATCTATTTAATATGAAAAGATTGGAAAAAAGTTCATACCTTGAGGACTATTCGCCAGGGAAGTTGTCGCTTTAGGCAGGACAATGGCAAAATATGCACTCGCATGCACGGTTTAAAAAAAATGCACTTTTCAAAAGTATTACATGCATATAAACCAAATCAAACCCAAAAGACCCCACACAAACACGTTTAACAAACGCACACACACACACGTGCTTGCAAGTAAACTCTCACTTAAACTGAATGAAATCAGCAACAGTGGAGAAACTGAAAAGGTGAGTGGCTGGAAGAGAGGATGGTTAAAGGATAAGTGAAAGAATGAATGAATGAATGAGAGAATAAAAAGAGTCTCACTCTTGAGGATGCTCGGAGACTGCAGCACTGTGAGAGATTGACCGCTCCCTACACACAAGCAAAGACTGCCACTCTACCACCTCCTCTTCCCTCTCTCTCTCTCACACACACACACACTCTCTCCTCCAGATCCATTCCTATTGGCTAGAACTGGAGAGTGGGCGGTGTTGAGTGCCTTAAGAGCCTCTCCTCCCCCTGAAGCAGTCCAGATCAAAAGCCATGCTGGATTTTCTCTCTTGATGTCGGCTTTGTGTTTTCAATCTGCAGCGTATTAGCTCGCTTAAAGGTAAACAAGCCACAAATCCAGCAAATATTTCAGCTTAAACCGCCCTTCAAAAACGTGCGGATTCCACAAGCATATGAAAGGAATTTGTGCACATAAGCAGAAATCAAATGATTATTGACTGCTGACCGGGGTCAGATGGAAAGGTCACAGACACATTTACAGTACACAGTTCACAGGAAAATAACTCTTCCATAGCTTAGATGAAGCATGTTTTTTTTTTTTTTTCAAGGCTTTCCTAATTAGAAATAAAAAGTCACAAATGAGACAAACTATTATGAGCTATATAATAGATCTACTACCATTCAAAAGATCACTCTTAGAAGAAAAGGTTCTATATAGAACCTTAAAAGGTTTCCTTTTTAAGGGTTAAATTAAATAAGAAAGATTTAGGGTTCTTTGTAACCAGGAAAAGGGTTCTATATGGAACCTTTTGGGTTCATTCATTATCATTTGTTTTGTCCTTTCTGACAAACATCAAGACCCTAAAATGTATTTATGAATGCATGTGAATGATCACAAAATTCAAGATATGGGGGTTAGAAAAAGTATATATTTATATCATTTTATGTACTGTAGTTAATCAATATCACACAAACAGTGCCAGTTTTTCTCCTCCAAAAATCAGCATGATTAAAATGAGAAATCAAGTTACTACAACAGTTTAATAAACAATAATTTAACTACAAAATGTTGCAGAATAATGTAATATATGAATGAATAAAAGGTTCTTTGGAGTTGAGTAAATAACCCAATGCTTCATATATAGAACCCAATGAACACTTTTTTTTCTAAGAGTGTGGGGTTGTGATATATTTTTTTCTTATATAATAATGTTATTGAGTAATGATTCAATTGATCAAAAGTGATTTATTTATTTGAATGTTTTTGAAAGAAGTCTCTTTTCACCAAGACACTGCTTTTTAAACATACATAAACTTTCAACTATAATTTAATATTATTTTATTTATTTAATATTTATTTTTAATATTTATTTAAATTTTTGTTCTCAGATCTAAGCAAAAATCTCATTCAATCTCATTGCTTTCAAGGAGAAGTCCATTGTTTTTTTTTATAAAAAGAAAAAAAAGAAAAAATTTAATTCTAAATCTCTGAGCTTCTGTTTGCAATCGGATTCTACTGTAATCCACACAAAAATTGCACTTTCCCGAAGACAAGCGACAAGGATCTTGCTGCACATCGAATCTTCTAGACAGATTTCTACCTCTGTCTGTCTCAGACCTTTCAAGCTGAGAAATCCGAGGAAGATTACGGGCTGTTTGCGATGATGGATAACCGCTTGTCCAGAGACAGAGATAAGACATTGTACAGCAGACATAAATTCAGAGATTCTGAGCATAGCACGGATATAATCAAAGATGCTAACATGTTAAAGGGGCACTTGGCAACTATTCCAACTTAATAAAACAGTTTAGAAATCATTTGAATGGTGACTTTCAGCATCCCCAGGCGGTAAACCAACCTTGCAACATGGGGACTAACGTCCCGGTAAGTTGGAAATAGAAGTCTCGTGAGAAGCGAGAACGAGCCAGAACAAGCGAGAAACATGAAGTGCTTTGTGGCAATTCGACATAATGCTATGATAACACAGTGTCTGATGTATTACACCCACTCAGTAGACATAGCTCCGCACGATAAAGTTGGCCGGCTCCAATAATAACAATTGCACATAAGCAGCGGTGGAAAGCAGGAGGAAGGTGCCGCAAGGGAGTTTTTTTATGACCATGTTGTGATATCGCACAACTGTAGGGGGAGCTGATGAGAAAACATGCAAAAACAAAAGTGAAAATC